CAAATTAAAAACAAAACTACTACAGGGAATAACGTACTAAACTTAATTTATTTTTTTTAATATTTTTTATTTCTTTTTAGTCTGTATAGGCTTCTCAATCATAAAGTGGTGGTGTATAGGATGAGTATAAGTTCGATTTTGTACAAGGTATCCCAAGCAGCATTTGGACGTCGGGACAACGTTGTGTCACGCGACCAAACGTCGGGGCGCAACGTCGGCACAACCTCGTGCCAACCCTAGTCTGCACTAGTTTGGAGAATAATTTTTGGGTCGGAACGACGTTGAATACCGACGTTGGCTAGAAGCCTAATTTAGTACAAACTGCAACGTTGTTTAAAATCCTAATTCACAGAAATACAAAACTAATATGGTGTCTAAGTCGCGTTTTATCCTAAATTGGGATAATTATAGTAAACATATTATTTTTATAATTTAGTTAGAGACATATGTCAGATGGCAGTGAAGGAAAACAAAACAAAAGTATTTAAGTGTGGAGGATGTTTGAAGATCATAATTATTGAAACACTTTAACCGACTCTGTAACTCGTTACCCAAGGTAAAAAGTTAAACGCAAACAACTTTATTGATAAATGTATTGTTTCTACTTTAAAAAATACTAATGGGCCTTGAAATTAAAGAAGTTTTAAAAATTTTCTTGAATTTTTTTTTTAGTAAAATGAGAATAATTTATTCGCATTCGAAAAAATTGTTTCCGCGTATTTTTTAGGGTCAAATATTTCAAGTTAATGTATTCAAAAAGCAGGAATTGCTATTTTAAGAACGAAACATTTTCTTATTTAACAACATGGCGGCTTTAACTTTGTTGTTTTGGAGATTAAGATGGAGTAGTTCGAGTAGTCGCATACTGGACTAATAAAGTCGCAGTTCGGCCTTAACAGGTAGTATACTAGTCGCAAGATTGCCTAATTTAGTCATTCTAGAGTCTAGCTTGTGCCGCCCTCTATAATCTAAATAAACGAGGAAGTGTCGGTAATATATGTCGATGTATATTTAAATTTAGTTTTATATGTACCTTTCTTATGTCCCATTTTAATTAAGTTTTTTTTTTATAAAAACAAAAACAGCACTGAACTGTCTGACTGAACAGAACAATGAATTGAAAATTTAAGATTTAAGGTTATGGTTCAATACAGTTGCAAAAAGGTAGTGACTCTACGTCCTACCAACGTAAGAATAAGGAAATCTAAACAACGTTGGAATTAGTAAAACAGACGACGTTTGCATAACGTTGGAATAGGTCCTGAAACTGACGTCGGAAAACTCTATATTATCCAACGTTGTAACTACGTTGTCCAAATCACCTAAAGATCACTTAAGCAAAAAAGGTTACAAGACAACGTTTATTCGACGTCGCAGAAGCTTCTACTTTGCTGTAGTACTAGTCCAACGTCGGCACAACGTTATAAAAACGTTTAAATTTATTTTAATACCCAAGGTAGGGAGCTAACTATTTTTTGTAACTAATCCAACGTTGTGTTTAGTAAACATGTGGTCGCAAGTCGTGAAAATGCTACTTGGGATATTAATATAAGGCAATGCCAATTAAACTTTTATTTACGTAATTGAGGGCAGGATTTTCAAATTTGTCACTGTAAATGTCCGAAATGCGGTAAAACCTAGGATAAGCGCGCTAAACCTAGGATTTACCTAAAACAAGTGGTAAAAGCTCTAAAACTTCTTTATTTTGCTTCCATTTCGGACTTTTACCGGGCCCAAACAGTAAATCTTAGGATTTACGATGCCGCATTTGTAAAAGTACGAATTATTTTTCTTATAGCAACAATATCGACAAGTTAAGGATGTCGATATACAAAGACATCTCTGTTTTTGTTTAAATAAATAAATAAATGCCTTTATTGTCAAAAAATTTTCCAATTTGTAGACAAAGGTAAACTAACAAACAAAGTAAAAAAACAAGGTACACAAACAAACAAACAAAAGATAATACAAAACATTATACAAATAATATTGTCAGTCTTATTGTTAAAATAAACATTTATAAATGTTTACAATGTCAAAGAACAAAAAAATAAAAATAATATTCAAAAATATTTAGCTAGTTTATAGAAAAATATCAATGATCTCTAAATAAATTCATTTCATTCATTAGTAAATATAGCAATAGCAAACATTAGACCAGTGTTTACAAGATCAAATTCGATTTTCAAAATATAATTCATTTACGGTGTAGAAAGCCTTGTCTAGTAAATAAGAGTTCAATGCTTTGCGAAATGAAAAAAATGATGTTATGGATTTGATTTCAAATGGCAGGTGATTGTGCATTTTTTTCGAGTTGTATAATATTGAACTTTTAACTAACTCTGAGGTGGGGTAGGTAGATAAAGATCTTGCTCAAGTGTTCCTGAGTGGATAAGTGTGAGATGGCCTTTCTTGAGAAGCTGATACATGTTTACGTATTAGGCAAACGGATTCAAATATAAATAAGGAAGGAAGAGTCAATATTTTTAATTCTTTAAAAAAGTCCCGGCAATGAGTTCTGCTGTTTAGTCCCAGTGAATATCGAACAGCTCTCTTCTGGAGCTTGAAAATGCTGTCAAATTGAGTCGCACAACACGTACCCCAGAATGGAAGGGCATATCTGAGGTGCGACTCAAAAAGTGCATAATAAACAGTTCTAGCCACTGACAAGTTAAGCTCCTTCGAAACAGACCTTAATGCAAAACAGGCAGAGCTCAATTTTTTCGACAAAGCTTCGATATGTATGTCCCATTTCAGAGAATTTGGCATTGAAATTTTAACGATTATCGTTTCACGATATCGATTTTTGTAACGTATCAGTCTTATATTTGTTACTGGAAATGTCCTAAATGCGGTAAAACCTAGGATAAGCGCGCTAAACCTAGGATTTACCAAAATCATTAACTAATTAATTAGCCTGGTTATTTGGAGGGTGTTAATGCATTGGTTAGCCTGGTTATTTTGGGGGTTTTAATGCATTGGTTAGGTGGTTATTTGGTGGGGTTGGTTGGTTTTTACTACCACTTGCTTATTCGTACTTTTACCAATGCGGTGTGGTAAATCCTAAGATTTACTGTTTGGGTCCGGTAAAAGTCCAAAATGGTAGCAAAATAAATAGTTTTCGGGTTTTTACCACATCTTTTTGGTGAATCCTAGGTTTAGCGCGCTTATCCTAGGTTTTACCGCATTTCGGACACATTTACAGTAACAAATCCATTGTTGCCAACTATGGACATATTCAGCGCCGTGTTGACTAACTGGAATTTTAATTTCTCGATGGGTACACATTATTTATTTATTTTCTGACATTGTCATTCGTTTTGACACTTTAGTTTTGTATTACGATTTTTTGTTTTAAATGAATTTTGTTGTGATACTATAATAAGCTTAAAAATTTTTACTAGTAGATCTTGCAGTCGAACATTGTTTTTTTTATAACCTCTCTTTTAGTGCGAAGTGAAGATAGCTAAATATCCAATACAAAAAAACTCGCAACCTTATTAGGAAATTTGGACGGGAATACGTTAGTAAATGGTCCTTTATGTCCATTAACTGCCGTTCAGGAGGTGAGTTTTGTTGGTTTAAATAATAACTGTTTATATATTTGTAATTACTTAATTTTTGTTTCATAAAATATTTTCATTAAAAGAAATAAATGTAAATAATATACATAATATGTAAAAGTCGGCAACGTTGTGCGGGCATGCTTAATCACGTGACTAAAGGTTTAACTGGTAGGAACTATAGGAGTAGATAAATATTAGGTTTATAGTATTTAATTGTAGTATATCAATTTTAGTTAAAAATGAAACAAAATTCAACTTAGAAAATTTAAATTTTATAATCTAAAACAAAAGCTTTACGATTATTTGTGAGTATTTACACGGTGTGTCAACAAAAATACTTCAAGAATACGTCGAGAAATATTAATATTGTCTATAATCTACAAATATTAATATGGTATTATATATCTCATAAGTCTCTAAATTTAGTATTATATATGGTATCTAAAATTACGGTATCTAAAATAAAAAGTTTTTTATTAATAATAACTGTAATTTTAGATATAGGAACACTATATGCTATATGTCACCCTGCAGATACTCAAAAGATTGCTAACTTGCTTATCTGAGAAAAAATATCTTATAAAAGGTCTATAATAAAGAAAAACATCAAAAATTACTCGTAAGTTATAGTTGTTTATTGTAATATCGTAATATCGAAAAAGTTAGATATTAGTAAATTCGATTTAACTCAAAATGAGAGTATATAGGTAGAACAGCTTCAAATATAAATATAGGGATTATCTGAAATAAGTTTTTTTTATAATCTGAGCCCTATATGTTTCAATATTTACAGAGATATAAAAACTCTGTGCATATTGTACAAAAATTTTATTTCAGATACCTACTCTAAGCATTAAATGTCCTAATACTAAGAATTTGTATAAAAAATAAGTTAAATAGTTAATTAAACATATAGAAATGGATATAAGAATTTGTTCACCACCATTTTATGCATCCTTAAATTCAAAGTACAAACTATATAGATATTTAGTCAATGTATTAAATAATTTTTTTAAAGTTGCCTTTTTTTGTCGTTACGCTCATATTATATGTATATTACTATCTAACATATAACTTTAATTGCTGACTCTATATGTGTTTAACAAAAAATTCATGTTAAATGTTCAATTATACTCTTTCATGTTCTTCTATTTCTAACTGTTACATTATATGTTCCCCTTGTACAAATACTCAGTTGTATATTTCGTTGTCATCCAAACAGTATTAAAGTTAATAATTATGTATTTAATAAATGTATTTATATTATATTATGTTATATTTATTTCGAAATTTCCCGCTTAAAACATAAATTTTATAAACACGCAACTCTTAATACAATCGGCGTTTTGTCTGGTTGCCTGCTTATTAATGATATTTAATAATCTACTAAATAGTTCTTGTTTTATCAGTTTACCGCTATCCATTTCATTATCCAGACTTTCTTATCACAACTCCGGGTTAGATAAGGTCCAACTTATCAAGTATTTTTTATAATTCAAGGAGTAAAATATCTTTCTCCCAGATGAATTTGTAGCGGTTGTTCGGTGCGTTGTGGCGAGAGGTCGCGACATCCTCGTAAATAATTTTTTACGACCCTTGTCAATCTGACAGGTTAGATTAAAAAATTATCAAGGAATACAGATGAGAAATATTTGTGTTCTTCGTTAAATTGGACCGATTTTCATACAGCACGAAGTCCGGAGCGGATACGTTGGTTTTATTACACGAACTAATGAAGTGATTAAAGTAGCGACACCTTCTTTAATTAGGGCTTGTTAAGAATTGTTAAAGTGGTTCACTGTTGTTGTCCCAGGTTTGTATATACAGAGTTCATTACGTGCTTCTCTTATTAAAACTCTTTATTATTTTAGAACTTTGTTTTCAGATTCTTTGAGATGGTGCTGGTTTTGAACGGTGTGCTTCAGGCAAAATGTCCCCAAGATACTCAAACTTTGTATCATTCACATCCCGTATACAGAGAGACTGCAACACAATTACTATCTATTCCTAATAAGGTGAGATGATTAATAATGCTGTTGTTGCGTCATTTAATATGTATTATTACATTTAGGTTATCGGACCTGTAGGACTCCTCTATGTGCAACAAAGAGAAATGGCCTCAACAGCCCCACACGATAAAAACGTAAACATATTAGGCTCAGATGATGCTACAACGTGTATTATTGCCAACGTACGCCATACAGGTAAAAATCTGTTATCACACTTTTAAAATAAAAATATTTAAAAAAAAATATTTTAAAGGTTCAGGAGCAGTAGCCTTAGCTCATTTCGATGGTGCAGGAATCGATGACGCAATATGCTCAATGATCCAGAGGGTTCAGGAATTAGCACTGGGTTATCCAGAGGGTAGAATTGAGCTGCAACTAGTCGGGGGTTACAGTGATGCCAATAACTATTCGGAAGAATTGTTTTTTAAGATAATGAACTCATTTCACAAGCAGCCAGTTGAAGTGGATCTGACTTTAGCTTGTGTGGGACAGTTAAACACAACAGTTAGAGGTGGTATTTCTTGGCCTCTTGTTTATGGCATTGGAGTAAACGTGAAAACAGGTAAGTGATACAGGAAATTTTTTTTAATTTTTTTATTAATTATGGTAATATTTCAGGTGAAATTTTCCCTGCAACATTTCCTGATAAAGGACCAGAATCCGTATTGAGGAGTGCCAGGAACTTGACAGGTCTTCCAGAGGTGCTGGATATTTACGATTCCAGTCTGGGCTTGCTGAGAATAGGTCCATTCAACTATAAGCCGTTGCGTGGAGTGGATTTGTGGTTAGGACAAACGGACGATTTTATTTTGAGACATTTGTCAACATCCCCGGATGTGGAGCCTCCACATTTTGTTGACGAAATGAGGGCAACTTTGAAGTACATCAGGGACAACCCTTTTCCAGCCGTTACAGTATTTGGAGACAACCGTCCACACTTTTTTCGAAGAGATGAACACACTGGCCTGTGGACACCTGCTGTTTTTTAATGAGGTCAAATAAAAAAAAATTGTGTTGGAAAAAATATATTTTCAAACTGGTCTAATAATTTTCAGAATTATTGTGACTGATACTCGTGATAAAATTTATTTAGAAGATCGTAATAAAATTAGAGTTTCTAATTTTGAGGTTGAGAAAAAAAATTCAAGTACTGATTTTTTTTAATATACAGGGTGGTCCGAATTGTATTCGGGAAACTTTGGCAGCATGTTCTACAGATAAAAATAAATAAAAATGTTTGTATAAATGTATGTCCTAGAAAGCTCTGTTTCGGAAATACAGTGGGTAGAAATTTCATTTTTGGTTGAAAAAATTGTTATCTAGGTGTTTTTTGACAGTAGAAATTTTATTTTGATGTCTGTCAATATAATTCCTACTTGTAGGAGGCGCCACCTACATATTTTTAAGTGTTGTGTGTATTTTTTTATACAGGTACGTGCGAAAAGTTGTTGCCCTTCAAACTAGTTAAAAAATATGTAGGTGGCGTCCTCTACAAGTAGAGTCATATGACATAAAAATCTAATTTCTCATGTCAAAAAACTTCCAGGCATCACTATTCATCGAAATATCGATCTTTGTTTAGAAATTATTTGCAAAAAATCAAAATAAAAATGAAATTTAAATACCCTGTATCTCCGAAACAAAGCATTTTAGGACATAAATTTATACGAACTTTTTTACTTACTTATCTGCAGAATATACTGGCGCAGTTTCCCGTTTATAATTTGGGCCACCCTGTATATTTTTTCAATATACAGGGTGTCCCGTTAGTGCGAGGAAGTTCAGTATCGTCGTTGTTGTCGAAACTATAAAAAAGTTTTACATAAATGTTGCATAGTTTTATAAAGGTGCATATCCTAAAAATAGTCCATTGTATACAGGGTATCCCATAAAAAAGTAATGATATAAAGTTTTATTTATTTTTTTAATTGCAATCTTCGTAAACCTCGGCGATATTGGACTTCCTCGCACTAATGGGCCACCCTGTTTATATGAGATAGTAATTTCATAATATGTACACATAGAGAAGATATATATATTTTTACAATTTAGGGGCTAAGTAATAATTTTTCACTACCTACTTATTGTTAATTCGTAAAAAAGTGTTTTTACTGGTGCTGCAACAAAAAAAATTAAATTTTCAAAATTATTTTGTTAAGATATTTCTATCTTCTGTTCATTGCAATTAATTTTAAATATATATTTTTATAGAACTCTACATAAATTGTTATTTATATGTAGCTTTGTTACTTATGCTTTATTTTTAGAAACTTATGTTTAGTTTGTAAGTTTTTTTGTAAATTAGTTAATTTGTTTAAAAAGTTATGTTAGTATAGAGAACATAAATTATTAGGTTTAAGCTTTATTTAAATGCCAGTGAAGAAAAAAATATAATTTTATAATACATAGCTATTGGCTTGTTGATATTTACTTGTTGGATTTTAAACTGAGTTTAATGTTAGATCTGAAATTGAATGCTAGATATATATTTTTTAATAAAATAAAACGTCTTTTTGTAATAATAATTTTGTTTTATTATTCCTTTTTGAAATAAAAAAAAAGTTTGTCCAAAATCACTGATTTATATCATGAACACATAAATGTGAAAAGAAAGTACTTACCTAGTCGCGCTTATGTACTAAAACAAATCCCAGAAATTTTAATTTTTAAAATAACTAGCACAAAAATTTTTAAACCTGGTTAAAAAGTACCGATCCGTATCAGGAACATATAAAAGTAAAGAGGTAAGGCGTAAATTTAGTACCATACGTAAGTAAATCATTGATCAACGATATTTCTGCGATCTCTAGCACTTCGACCTCGTTTCCAAAATTCAACCCCTAATATTTCGGAAACTATAAGGGTTAGAGGGGAACGGAACTCGGCATTCGATAGGCATTTCAACCCTCTATAAGGGCGCAAAATAAGGGCGCGATCGGAGACCAAAAAATTTTTTGGAAAAAAATGAGGTAAGGGGTTAAACCTTCCTTCATTTTTGCCGAAAATTTTTTTTTGTCTCCGATCGCGCCCTAATTATGCACCCTTATAGAGGGTTGAAAGGCGAATCGAATGCCGAGTTCCGTTCCTCGATATCTCTTTAAGTTTAGAAGTTATGGCCGTTTTTCCAAAAAAATCTAACTCTTCTAACTCGTTGGTCCAGTTTTAAATAAATCACCTAATCGAATTTATTTTGACTAACTTTTATTCAAAATCTGAAAATGTTCAATTTCGATCAAAAAATTCTAAGAGCAAGGAGGTAAATTTCGTCATCAATTTCTCAATCTACACTATATATGATTTAAAACAGAGTTTAAAATAAGAGTTTTAAATTATTTTCATTAGTTTTTTGTCCTTTTTAGTTAATATGTATTTTCTGTTTAAAATAAAAAAACGTCATCTTTCATTTTCTCGGTACTATATCTTAATTTTTTTTTATAAAATAACATAGTAGGTCTTTAAATAAAAGTCTTTGAGTAAATTGATAAATATATTAATAACTTTATTATTGTGGTCATTTTTTACAATACAATCTATGTACATAAGCTATATAGTTTTACAAAAAAAGTCAATTATACAGAAGACAAATCATGTTCCTTATTCTCACACAGTCAAAGTCACCTATAAATACACACTATCTTTGAAAAAATAACATATCAACTAAAGTCAACTACACATTACAACAAAAATACACTTTGATATAAACAAATGATTAATACCATACGGAAATACGGTCACCTGTCAACAATACTGTTCGACAGATTTAAGGAAATATCACAAAAACAGACAAAAAAAAACATTTATTAAATATATACAGAGTGGCTCGTTAAAAAAAACAATTTATATTGCCTATCTAGAATTAAAATGACAGAAAACCGTCACTCGTGTCAGTAAAAGTACCATGCATTACCATTAACTTGTAAAGGTGCGTTCACGCCGGCCGCGCCGCGCAAATCATTTTTTTAACATATACTTTTGTGCGAGCAAAAAAGTACACTTCAAAAGTACATGTTAAAAAAATGTTAAGACTTTTCTTTATAAAGAAACATGAACTGTCAAAATAGGCAAATAAGAAAGTTTCTTTCAGTGAGACACTCTGTATAACCGAAAACAGACATTTGCAAAGACGCCTATCAACCTCTGGCCTCTTTTCCTAACTTAAAAGAATTAAGTACACTTTGTTCAATATACAGGGCGTCCGAAACATTGTGGACGTCTTGCAGCGACTTTACAAATGCCACACGAAAGATACTAAAGAGAGCTAGAAATTATATAAAAAATATTATCTTAAAATAAGTTATTTTATATAATATGAATGAGATTTTATGAAATAAATAACTACAATCTAAAAATAATTTTATTATTGGTTCCTTATTACGATGTGCTTGGTAGGCAATCTTTTTTATTTTATTTTGAATTATATGAAGTGTTCAGCTCATTTTTGCAATAACTATATTTAATTTAAACACTTTATATAACCCAATTTTAACAAATTAAAATTATATTTTATATTTTTTTCATCTGAAATCCTTATCTATATAAGCGTAGTCAAAAATTATTTATTTTTTTGAATTTTAGGTCCATTACTAGTAATTTTGATTATAAATTAACGTTTATTAATTGCCCAAATATATGACTATGTACAGAGTGTTTACACATATCTTAGCCAATAGCTATATTTTATTTTTATAATATTCTTATTTTTATTGTATATTCTTATTTTTATTTGTTTAAAACAGTTTAAAACAAGTTGTTTGCATTATTTTTTAAACAAAATATTTGAAACTTAGTTAGAATAACTATTGGCTAAAAACGTGTGAAAACCCTGTATATTTATTTCCCTTAAAATACAATATTTCGAAATTTTTTTATAGGAACAGGAATTCTAACAATTGTTTTATTAAATTTACTTTGACAATATAACCATACAATTATTATTATTTAATTTTATTAAAATTTCTCCTTCTAAAAATACTCTTTATAATAAATAATGCTTTCGGTCAATGTTTATATAAGTTATATATACAAGATTTAAAGGTAATAAAAGGGTAATAATTTAAAAAATAAGGATATTTGTATTGTGCCCATGCAATAATTCGTATAACAATAATAATTTTCAATATTCAAGTTATTTTTTTTAGAAAGATATGATGAAAAAATAAGTGTTTATAGAATTATAAATCCAAATATTTTTATACATTTTATTAATGTACAAATTCAACATTTGTTTCTAAATTGGCCTCATATAAAAAATTAAATTTTCATTTTGATGGAAAACGTATACAAATATAGAAATTACCTTTCAATTAAAATGTATAACAAACTTCTACAGCTCAAACATTTTTTCTTCTATATGCTGCCAATATTCTTTTGATCCACTGTATAAATTTCCTATATTTCTTTATTAACACAATTTAATGCTTATGTGCGAATATTCACCATTAAATTTACTAATCGGAAATCGAAGAGCAATTGTTACAGTTCTCCATAGATGCGACGTTGCCGTTTTTTGACTCGGGCGTCGTAGGTTTCGAGACGTTGTCATTGTCATCTCTTACTTCGGAGTTTTCTGGGGTCACCAAACTGTTCGCTGCTGCGATCTCCATCCATTTAACCCTGTTTTGCCTGACACCCTCAACCAAGGGTTCCAGTTTGTCGGAAAGCTTCGCGAAACCCTGAAAATAATAAAATAAGTTAGAACAATACAATCAAAAGAAGTAAAAATTAACAAAACACTGTATTTAATTTTTAAGGAGATAAGAAAAGCCTAAACTAAAATTTAATGTCAATTTTTCGAAGAATATATGTTTTAGAATCAGTATCAATCACTTATTGGCTATGCCGGGCCAAGTTCGACGTCGGGACAACGTTGTGTCACGCGACCAAACGTCGCGTCGGGGCGCAACGTCGGTACAACCTCGTGCCAACCCTAGTCTGCACTAGTTTGGAGAATAATTTTTGGATCGAAACGACGTTGGATACCTACGTTGGCGAGCAGCCTAATTTAGCACAGACTGCAACGTTGTTTAAAATCCTAATTCACAGAAATACAAAGCCATAATAATATGGCGTCTAAGTCGCGTTTTATCCTAAATTGGGATATTTACAGTAAAAATATTATTTTTATCATTTAGTTTGCCGGATGGCAGTAAAGGAAAACAAAACAAAAGTATTTAAGTGTGGAGGATGTTTGAAGATCATAATTATTGAAACACTTTAACAAACTCTGTCTCGTTACCCAAGGCAAAAAATTTAAACGCAAACAACTTTATTGATAAATGTATTGTTTCTGCTTTGAAAAATACTAATGGGCCTTAAAATTAAAGAAGTTTTAAAAAGTTTCTTGACATTTTTTTTAGTAAAATGAGAATAATTTATTCGCAGTCGAAAAAAAAATTGTTTCCGCGTGTTGTTTAGGGTCAAATATTTCAAGTTAATGTATTCAAAAAGCAGGAATTGCTATTTTAGGAACGAAACATTTTCTTATTCAACAACATGGCGGCTTCCACTTTGTTGTTTTGGAGATTAAGATGGAGTAGTTCGAGTAGTCGTATACTGGACTAATAAAGTCGCAGTTCAGCCTTAACAGGTAGTATACTAGTCGCAAGATTGCCTAATTTAGTCATCCTAGAGTCTAGCTTGTGCCGCCCTCTATATTCTAAATAAACGAGGGAGTGGATAAAGTATCAGTAATATGTCAATGTATATTTAAATTTAGTTTTATATGTGCCTTTCTTACGTCCCATTTTAATTAAGTTTATTTTTATAAAAACAAAAACAGCACTGAACTGTCTGACTCAACAGAACAATGAAGTGAAAATTTAAGATTTAAGGTTATGGTTCAATACAGTTGCAAAAAGGTAGTGGCTCGACGTCCTACCAACGTAAGAATAAGGAAATCTAAACAACGTTGGAATTAGTAAAACAGACGACGTTTGCGCAACGTTGGAATAGGTAGTGACGTCGGAAAACTCTTTATTGCCCAACATTGTAACTACGTTGTCCGAATCACCTAAAGATCACTTAAGCAAAAAAGATTACAAGACAACGTTTATTCGACGTCGCAGAAGCTTTTACTTTGTTGTACTACTAGTTCAACATCGGCACAACGTTACAACAACGTTTACATTTATTTTAATACCCAAGGTAAGGAGCTAATTGTTTTTTGTAATTAATCCAAAGTTGTGTTTAGTAAACATGTGGTCGCAAGTCGTGAAAATGCTACTTGGGTGGTGTACCTAATTATCTTTTTTCTACTAAAAATACATCATATGCACACTAATATTTACCTCATAAATAGGAAGGCATATGGAGTCAATAAAGCCCACTTGCATTAGAGGTAGTTGATCTTCTTTTTCTCTATTCATTATGTCCTGAAACAAAAAAAACGAAGTCAAAAAAAATATTCTCCTTTTTAGCAAACAGAACACTTACAATTGGCGTAATGTTGAGTTTTTCCCTTTCTATGTCGCCTTGTTCAAAGAACTCGGAAGATACAAGTTCAGCCACTCGCTTTTCAATGTCCCAAGGTTTGGTGATGGCTGCCAAATCACAGACAGTCATTAACATGGCCCTGAGTAGTTCTCTGTGTTCTTCCACGGCCCAACAAGGACCGTCTCTGATGACGTTGAAAAATGCACCACGTTTTCTAGGGGAGGAAACAAATTTAAAATTAGTTTTCTCGATTTTAAACCTTGTACAGACATCTAGTACTGTATATTTGGTGGATAAAAATTATTTACCTAAAATACACAGCCAAATCTGTAGACAATATAGCCTCTTCCAAAACTTTAATCACCCTGGAATACTCTTCTGGAGAAATATTAGCCAAAAGTTGATTTCCGGGTGAATTTAGGATCATAATGCATTGATCAAAGTGATGATGCTCCATCGTTGAAGTTGAATATAATTGAGCTAATGGTGATGATGCTCTGAAATAATAAAAAATATAGTTAAATAATTAGGTTAGAAGGTTTTTGAAAAAAAATTAACTTACTTAATTTGAAATGAATTATTCGTGCCTCTGTGATCCAAATCGTGACATAGGCAACCTATTAACAATGCCAGACATTCGATTTCACCAAAAATCTTCCACCATTGTGTTGACTGTAACAGATATATAAATATATAAATTATTGTAATAAAATATATACCGATCTGGACATCGTAAAAGGGTGGTCTGGATTTTAACCTGTAAGACAGTGATGTAGACAACTTAATGAAAAATCAAATGTATTAAAAAGAGATAAAAGTTGGGTTGATACATTTCTTTTCTTTCATGCGGTATTGCCGGGTTTTGCATCAAAATTACAAACTGCACAAGTAGGCGTTTACAAAAAATGTTGCATCTAGGGTTGGACTTTTATTTTTCACAATTAGTTACTCATTTTACTACAGCTGTAATAGGTTATATTTAGCTTAGTATATTTTTTCTACACAAATTTTCCTAATATGTAAAAAACTGGCAACACTGTATGCCGCTTTTTATTTTGTCTCTCTGTCTGTCAACCGGTCGTTTATATTTATCTCTGTCGCATGCATTAAAATACAGACCACGCAGATAAAATGTCCAGAATGGTATATAATGATAGAAATATATTATTATATAATATAAACAAATACTTACGGTGACAATTGCGAACATCATTTGAGCCACGTTGAAGGCATGCCTCCAGTTGTGATAAGTGACGTTCCTGTAGTTCTTCTTTACTGAGCACAACCATCGACATAACACCTCATAGTCAATATGAAAGTGTTCTACAAGATCAAGATCCAAGAACATTCTAATACAGGCCTGGAAAAGAAAAAAAGGTCAAAATTTTAAAATTGTCTATCACGGAATTTTTAAATTAATTATTTATAACACTTTCTTTATTGTTTTACAAACATCTGAAAGATAGGAATGTTTAGGTGTAAGATTTAATAAGATCGTACTCACAGTAAGAGTTTCGTCGTCATCCATGTTGATGTCATCAAAATCGAAATTATACAGCCCATAATTTGCAGCTGATGAGACTCTTAGAGCCTGAAAACAATCAGAAAAAATCTTTTATAATTTTTAAAGTTTCTTAGGATAATATCTGTACTTAAAAATCTGGTAATAATGACTACAAATCTACAAACTTTCAAAATACTGGCACTTATTAATGGGACGCCCTGTATAAAAATAGATTAGTGAATTTGTGTCTTACCCTCAATTTTTGCGCGTCTTCCAAACTGGCAGTGGCGTGGTAAGATAATACTTCCAAAGTGACGTTTTGCTTGGCTATTGCCACCATTGCTTTTTCGAACATGTGCGTGTTGTGGATGCCCATACCGCAGAAAATTGCAAAGGCCTGTAAGAAAACAACATTTCTTAATAGATATATTATTATTAATATCATACTAATATATTAATTTCTGCATATTTTTAAGAACTTTCGTATGTATGACTTTTATTTTAATAAAGCTTACTTCAACAAAGTTTTCATCATTTTTCGTAAAAGGCAAATCATTAAACTTGTTGATCAGTTGTATGACGCCTATGATATCCCCTGAAGAGTTCTTGATGGCCATACAAAGGATGGTTTTGTGCTTGAAACCAGTTCCATCATCAACTGTATGGTCGAATCTTGGATCTTCGTCAGCTTGTGCAATGTTGACAGTCTAGAGAAATAAGTAATTGATTATATATAAAAATTAAATAAACAAAAGCCAATTAAATTAACAAGAATTATTACAAATAAGCTATAAGCGTACATGAGGTAAGCTGTCAATTGTGGAAGTTGGTAGAGTTTTAAACATAATTATTATTTGAAAAATATTTTTTTTGTATAGTTTTTTTTTCGTGAATTTTTAGGTAAATTGTATTTTCTGTCATTTTTTGGATTACGTCTGTCAAAATTTTTCCTGATTTAGACATGCTTTACCTAAATAAATAAATGCCTTTATTGTTAAAAAATGTTACAATTTGTAGACAAAGGTAAAGTAAACAAACAAACAAACAAAAGAGAATACAAAACAAGTATACAAATTACATTTTCAGTCTTATTGTTTAAAATAAACATTTATAAATGTTTACAATGTCAAAGAATAAAAAAATAAAAATAAGATTCAAAAATATTTAGTAAGTTTATAGTAAATATAGTAATAGAAATATTAGACCAGTGTTTATATACAAGATCAAATTCGATTATCAAAATATAAGTCATTTGCGGCGTAGAAAGCCTTGTCTAGTAAATAAGATTTGAATGCTTTACGAACTGAAGAAAATGATGAAAAGTTATGGATTTGATTTCAAATGGTAGGTGATTGTGCATTTTTTTCGAGTTGTATAATATTGAACTTTTAACTAACTCTGAGCGTGGGGTAGGTAGATAAAGATCTTGCTCCGCGTTCCTGAGTGGAGAAGTGTGAGATGGTCTTTTTTGAGAAGCTGATACATGCTTACGTATTAGGCAAACGGATTCAAATATAAATAAGGAAGAAGAGTCAATATTTTTAATTTTTTAAAAAAGTCCTGGCAATGAGTTCTGCTGTTTAGTCCCAGTGAATATCGAACAGCTCTCTTCTGGAGCTTGAAAATGCGGTCAAATTGAGTGGCACAACACGTACCCCAGAATGGAAGGGCATATCTGAGGTGCGACTCAAAAAGTGCATAATAAACAGTTCTAGCCACTGATAAGTTAAGCTCCTTAGAAACAGATCTTAATGCAAAACAGGCAGAGCTCAATTTTTTCGTTATCAAGAAGTTCTTAGCATTCCAAATAACATAACAATAGAGATATATCGATAAAAAGACAATATGACATGTAAAACAGCTTGCCAAAATCTTCCACCATCTGATTAATTTAAACTATGTTATCTTAATGTCTGTTTACTCATTTTCTTTAGTTATGTTGTATTAAGACCAATAAATAACAATAACATAACATCGTTGAGTGAAATATTATGTATGATCTGTATGTATAATCAAATATTTCGCATTTTTTTTAAATTTTACCTGCCAAGTTCTATTCAGGGTTAGCTCAAAAGTCAAGTAGATATAATATTCCATGATATGTGCAGTTATATTTATTTAAAAATGTTCAAGAGTAATAAAAGTAAGAATCATGTACTTAGTGTTGTTGAACAAATATTTGATTATAAATTAAGTTTATAAGTTATAAAGTTTTCTTACCTCTCCTGTTGTGGCTACATGTCCTGTGATTCCAATATTGATAGGAAACCTACTTTCAAATGGACTGAAATAATAAACAAAAATTGTCAGTTACATGTACAGGGTGTCCCACTAAGAATAGCTCTCGGCTGTATCTCGGAAAGTATTAGCCCTAGCGACTGCGGAAAAAAATATTTATAACTAAAGAGGCTATGGGAAATTGCTGGAAATTATTTTCAAGTTTTTAAAACTACCGCTAGGGGGCGCAACTGCAACAAAAAATACGAAAATGGAGTTTTTACACAATTTTGCCTAGATAAGGTGTACTATAAGTAATAGCTTTATAATCTTCAGTAAATTTTGAATATTTTTTGTTAGAGCCATTTTCTCCTATCTACCAAAATAAAGTGGTGGGGGAAGGTTAGATCTGTTTTTATTTGAATATTAATAACTCTGGACTGGATGATCGGAATCCAACAAGCGAGGGCTCGTTTAAAAGAGCGTTTCTTACTCTATATTGTACAATATAAACAATAATAATAAGCTTTTGAACGTAGACGCTAGGGGGCGTTGTCTTACAATTTAACAAACATTGCGGGTTTTTTCAAAAAAATTAAATGCAATAATATATGTAATTTTAGCTGATAGTAAAGAGTAGTAAAAGTTTAAAAAGTCAGCGAAAACCGCATCTTGATATCTTCTTTTAAACCGAAGATATTAGCAAAATTACAATAAATACCAAAAATAAGCCCGTAATTGCCTTACTTTTACCATACGGTATCAGTAGCCCTCTTGATTATGCCCATTCTAGTCTAAAAATAAGATGAAACAGTTAGTTTATCTTAAAATCGACGATATACCAGAATATCATAATATCAGATGTATTAATATCTAATAATTAAGATATTAATAATAATAACAGTGAACAAGAAACGATGATTCAGTGAAGTCATGATAGGCTTTGGAAAAAAGTTGCTTTTGACGTAATAGTATAAACGTCAAATTGTTATTAGATCAACAATTTGTTAGCAGCGTTTTTTATCTTTTGATTGCTTTTTCAAAATGCCAACAGTACTTTAAATAATAAAGGCATTTTGAAAAAGCATTTAAAAGATAAAAAACGCTGCTAACAAATTGTTGATCTAATAACAATTTGACGTTTATACTATTACGTCAAAAGCAACTTTTTTCCAAAGCCTACAATGACTTCACTGAATCATCGTTTCTTGTTCACTATTATTAATATCTTAATTATTAGATATTAATACATCTGGTATTATGGTATTCTGGTATTTCGTCGATTTTAAAATAAACTAACTGTTTCTATCTTATTTTTTTTTGTTAGAATGGGCATAATCAAGAGGGCTACTGATACTGTATTGTAAAAATAAGGTAATTAAGGGCTTATTTTTTGGTATTATAATTTTGCTAATATCTTCGGTTTGAAAGAAAATATCAAGATGCGGTTTTCGCTGACTTTTTAAGCTTTTACTACTCTTTACTACCAGCTAAAATGGCACATACATATATCGTATTTAATTTTTTTGAAAAAACGCGCCATGTTTGTTAAATTGTAAGAAAGCGTCCCCTAGCGTCTACGTTCAAAACCTTATTGTTATTATTATTATGGTATAATATAGAGTAAGAAACGCTCTTTTAAACGAGCCCTCGTTTGTTGGATTCTGATTATCCAGTCCGGAGTTATTAACATTTAAATAAAGATAGATCTAACCTTCCCCCACCACTTTATTTTAGCAGATATGGGAATATTGTTCTAAAAAAAAATCCAAAATTTACTGAAGATTATGAAGCTATTATTTATAGTACCCATTATCTAGGCAAAATTCTGTAAAAAATCTATTTTCTTATTTTCCATAGCAGTTGCACCACCTAGCGGCCGTTTTATAAACTTGAAAATAATTTCCAGCAATTTCTCATAGCATAGAAGTTATAAATATTTTTTTCCGTAAGCCCTGTGGCTAATACTTTCCGAGATACAGTCGAGAGATATTCTTAGTGGGACACCGGGTACAGTATTATTTTACAGTATGAGTGAAATGTTTATAAAATAAAAAGACATTTACTAGAATAATAAAATAATATGATGAGCGCAAAAAAAAGTTTGATATAAATATATAAAAAAAAGTAAAAGTATCGTCCATATAATCATTGTTCAAGTCAAGTATAAGTCCTAAAAACCTTGATATTTCATATTTATGTTTACCAAACTCAAATTGATCCGTATGTTGTTGACAGCCAATAAGCCATGTTATTAAACTTACGTGACCCACAACAGGTGTTGACTGCGATTGAAATGCAAGTCTTTCATAGTGCAAGATTAACTATTTTGTTTTGTTCGCCAATTTTAAATTGGCCGACATAGTTGACTATATGTCTATTAAAAAAATCGTCTACTACACTTATAGAGATAAATAAACAAAATCGCACACGTGCAAAATTAAAACATTACTGTCCCAAAAAGAACGGTTGTAAAACCATATAATTGTTGTTTACTTTTGTTCATTGTTTTTATGGACTATTGCTCATTCTACACATAACTTTTAACCTATCAGTAATACCCCTAGATCATATTATACGAGTGTTGCATTGTCGAGCGGGACATAGGAAATCCCATGTAAATTTTAATGGGGTCAATTATTGGCTTCCCTAATTATTTTAGAGACTAATTCTATTTAAGTTTATTGAATAGCACTAAAACCCACATTCAAAAGAATAACTTTAGATATATTTGATTAGCTCGTTTACGAGTTATCGCCGATTTCTTTTTAAATATTTCTCCTTTCTTATGGCCCTGTATTTACTTACCTTGACTGGTGAAGGTAAAAGATAACTGTCAAATGAAGTTGTCGTTTCAGAAATTTACCTATTTAGTGCTTTATTATTATTGAAAACTCATTCCTACACCGGAAATCTTAAAGATGTATTTATAAATACAAATTGATATGAATTAAAGTAAAATAAAGTAATCAATTACAAGGTTAATTATAGTATTATTACAATATTCAATAACTTATTAATTTAGGTACTATTAAATTGTTAGAACTTTAGGATTTAAGAAGATGTTCAAATATTCCTCCATCGACTGCTAGACAATAACCCAGGCGATCATAAAACTCTCTTCTTACATTCGCTAGTTGGTAAACTGAAATTCTGTTGCAATCGGCAGAAATAGCATTTTTTAACTCGTCTAGATTTGGGTATTTTTTTATCCTTGTATATCCTGTTTTTTAAATGGCCCCAGAGAAAGAAATCATTTGGAGAAATATCAGGAGACCTTGCTGGCCAATTTACTGTATGATTTAGGCCAATAACGTTTCCGTTAAAACTATTATCTAAATATTCCCGAACAGCCAGTGTACTATGTGCCGGGCAGCCATCCATTTGGTACCTAACTTCCTGATTTTCCCTAGCGGCATCATGTAAAGCAGGTAAAATATGATTTTCGAGTAGTTCCAAATAATATTCTGCTTTTAAATTTCGCGTAAGAAATAATGGCCCGATAATATTGTGTCCGAATATCCCTGCCCAAACATTTACTTTCTGTGGATATTGCGTCCTTGTTTCGACAAACCTGTGTTGGTTTTCTTTGTTCCAATATAGATAATTTTGAACATTGGGTTCATTATTTAAGGTAAACGTGCATTTGTCAGTAAAACATATGTTATTTAAAAATTTCCTATCCGTGTTTGCTCTTTCCATCATATCAAAACAAAACGCCTGCCGCCGTATTTCGTCCCCATCTCGTAGCTCTTGGTGCTTTTCATATTTGAAGGAATAGTATTTATGTCGTTTCAAAATTCGAAACGCTGTAGTGTGATCTATTCCTATTTCATCCTCAAGATTCCTTGTGCTGATCTTTCCATCGTTCTCTTCCACGCACAATAAAACTTCCAAGTCGGTATCATTTCTTGCATCTTGTCTTTGTACCTGCCTTGCTTCACATATGCAGTTATTTATTAGGATACCTTTGGACTCAAATCTCTATATTCCTTGCGATTGTAGATTTTCTAGGTATCGCTCTATTCAGATAGAGAGCAGCAAACATGTCCGACACCTTTTGATAACTATTTCCTTGATAATACCATTTAATCATCAATACTTTTTCTTCGGTAGTGTAATTCATGGCATTTTCGATATAGGTATGAATTTTTAATAATAATAATAATAAAGCACTAAATAGATAAATTTCTGAAATGACAACTTCATTTGTCAGTTATCTTTTACCTTGACTGGTGCTCATAAGTAAATACAGGGCCATATGAAAGGAGAAATATTTAAAAAGAAATCAGCGATAACTCGTAAACGAGCTAATCAAAAATATCTAAAGTTATTCTTTTGAATGTGGGTTTTAGTGCTCTTCAATAAACTAAAATAGAATTATTCTCTAAAATAATTAGGGAAGCCAATAATTGACCCCATTAAAATTTACATGGGATTTCCTATGTCCCGTCCGACGATGCAACACCCGGTATATGATCTAGGGTTTTAAATAACACCCAAAACTGACAAGATTGACGTTATGTGTGGTTGGGGCTTAAGAATTATACAGGCAAAAAATAAATAGGTACCTTGTTCGAGATTCGCCGTCTTCACCATTGAGATCATTAGCTTCAAAGTCGAACACCCTGGAAAAGCTGATTTTAGAACCTGGATGCATTAGCAATATCTGAAAAGCAAAGAAATCATTAGTAATCAAAAAGTTGAGAAAAAAAATAGAATTGTTATTCAAGAATTCGACAATTTTTAACTAATATTAATTTTGACTTTTGAATTGTTGGCACTTTTTGTCCCTTTAACATTTTTGTTCTACTAAAGTTAATATATTAATAAAAAAACAGTGCTTACTTCAAGCAATCACTTTTAGCGCAACAATCAGTGCTTATAACAATAGATAAATGAAACAAGTTTAGATTTGAAAGTGCCCATAAGGACAATGTAAACGCTATTTGGCGCTATTCTTGCAACGGTCGCGACCCAAGGCTTTTGATAATTTCGGATCGGTTCAATCTCAAATTTATTATTATTTTTTTTAATTTTATAAATAAAATACAGTGTGTTGCATACAAGAAACTTTATTTTATATCAGGACATGCATGTAAAATACCTATGAAACATTGGAAACCGACGTTATGCCACGATCCACGATGGTATTTGCAGTTCACAGTTCACAACACAGTTTTTTAGTTTTTAATGCCACTTTTTCACATTTATCACGGGTTTGAGTAAGTAAAATTTAAATTAAACTAACAAGATAGCAATAACTAGACGCTTAGAATAGACGCTTTAAACACTTTTCGGTATTTTTTCAATGAGAGCGGTTGAAATTTTGAAAGATTTTATAATTTTTGAAGATTCTCACAAGATTTGACAAAAGAAAATTATTTCTTTTATTATTTATTTTTTTTTATTTTTTATATTTTTTTTTTTTTTTATTTTTTTATTTTTTTTTATTATTTCTTTTATTGTTTGCGGTTGTTCTTAGCAACAGTTATAGTAGCGCCAGATCGCGTACAACAGTCGCGACCCAAAACAATTATATATTTTGACGGGCTTTCCAATCTAAATTTATAATTTTTTCAATCTAAATCTTATAACACAATGACTAAAGAATATAAGGACATGTAACGCCCATATACGGGCTGCAGCAGAATTCGTGACCTTAGACGCCATTCTTTTGATGGCAAACAATGAGTCATCATCTGTTCACCAGCGACAATTTTAGCGATTTTTAATAGTTTGTGTGTAGTGAACTTTGTATAAACTTTATTACAATGGTGATTAGTTGTTCAGCTTCCAAATATAAAAGCAGCAGCGATAAGAGGGAGCCAGGCGTTACGTTTCATAGGTAAATAAACAGTCCGCTCCACCTTTTTAGCGTTTTCTTAGTTTTCTTATTGATTTCGATAATTATTTTTCTGATATTATATATACTTGATGTGTGCTATAAGTCGATACTAGTTTTGTAGCTTTTGTTAACATTTTTTTCGCAATTAAATAGTATGATACTACCGTATACACCATAGGCGTAGTCAAAACATTTATCAAAAAATATAAATATCTGTTCAAACAGCTAGGTTAAGAAAAGTAGGTGCCACGGCACTGTTTGGTGACATCGTCACAATTTGCTCTCGGGTGTTATTTGTCCTTGGATTCTTTAGTCATTGTTATAACAACATTTTTCAACCTGTCAAGTAACAGTAACTGACTAAAATTTTGTTTCCCACAGAAATTAAGCATAACCATCGACTTTAAATTAAGTAAGAAAAACTACGAGATATAACTCTAATTGATTATTATTGAGACCCAATCTATTCCAGCTAACTTCAGATAAACTATACAGAATCCAAAAAATGTAAAACTATGTAGATCATAGTGTATATCATGCTTGAGCATAGGTATTGAAAACGCCAAAATAAAAAATAAAATAAAATAAAACGAGTACATAATTGATTGTTTTAAAATGAGCCTTATTTATTCTCGTGACGGAACTGCTAAATAACTTAAACAATTCTGTGAGCGGTTCGGTGTGCACGTGCCAGATTGACAGATTGCGGTTTCCAACGGGAAATTAATGGAGACAAGAGTGAATTTTCGGAAATTGATGTTTAAACGGAACAAGCGGTCGTCTGTTGGTAAAACAGATTGGAAATTCGTGGTAGTTCCGTGGTTTTTCGTAGATTTTATTAACAACAAACATTGAAGATTCTTTAAAACATCATACCGGGTGTTTTTCATAAGTGGCTCACCCCTTTATCTTTTTATTTTTTCAGGTAAAGGAACGAGATTTGGGCTGTATTCCGTTGCAAAACCAGGCGAACCAGACCGGTAAACTACGGTAAAGAGCGGTTTCTAAAAAACATCGGTTTGATACAGAACGGTTTGGTAAAATATTGGAAACGTCAAATCTTGACGTTTTCTAAATTTCAATACCTCTATTATAAAATTTATCTTTTATGCATTTTTAATGTACCTATTATCTGCTTTTACGTTTGCTTCTTCTTTTCAATGGAGTTTAATTTTGAAAAGTACTTTATTAATAAACTGTTAAACTCGTTAGACAGCTCAAGTAAAGATTTGCAGGTCCAATATTAAAACAGATGAATAATAAATAAACAAATCTAATCAATATTTATATTTTTATAGCTTACATAACATTCACGATTACTTGTTGTCTTGTTTTTCATGTTTTCTTTAAATGTTCCTGACTTTAAGAAACAATGGCTGCATGATAAGTTTAAATGGTCCTAAAAAGTCATTCATTCTATTTAGTTAACGAAATTTATTTACCTTTACTGCCTACCTCCATTGCTTTTGGATGTAAATACAAAATATTATTACAAATTTTAGAAATTAAATGAGAATTTCACTCCAACTTCCAATATTTGCTTGATTTCTGTCATAGATATGACATTGATTGACAAACAAAACCAGAGAAACCAGCCTTCTCGCGCTGGTTAGTTTGGTGACAGTTATAACTGAAAACTTTCAGGAAACCGATAGAAACGGAACATAAAACCATAACCAAGGTAAGCAACGGAATACACCCTTGGTATGTTAGAATATGACATTAATTGGGATTGATTGATGTATTCAATTAGTTTTGGTCACTTCCTGATTCACCGGAAATAACTAAAACTTTTCGTTTTTAAATGGTACCCTCAGAATTTTTTACTTTACTTGATAGAAAATTATATTCTGGATAGAATGACATAAAATATGTCAACTTCTGACATTTTTAATTAAAAAAATAGTATTTTAAATTTCAATCTAGAGTGCCACGACCATAAATGTAAAGACAATTTAGCTCGAAAGGCTGTGGTACCAAATTATTCGTAAAACTATTTCTTCCGAATATGTAACGAGCCATCATCGTTCCATTTGAAAAAGCGATTTTGGCAAATAATTTTTTATCAAGGAGCTTCTCTTCTCTTATTCGTCTCTTATTAAAAAATTACAACAAAATTCAGTTAAACCAAAAACACGTAACACAAAACTAAAGTGTCAAAACGAATGACAATGTCAGGAAATAAATAAATAAATGTGGCAACTGGACAGTTTTTACAGCAACCACCTGAATCCCCAGCGGGAAATTTAAATTCCAGTTAGTCAGCCTGGCGCCGAATACGTTCATGGCTGGCAACAAAAATCGCGCCCTCGATTACGTCACTAAAAGTTTAATTGGTATCGACTATATATCTATCATATTTCTCTATTGGTTCGTACAATGTACTCCGGCCAAAGTACCTTCAGCATCCAACGAAATAAATAATAACTAACTTTTTTCAACGGTTTCAAAACCCTAAAAATCTGCCTTTATCAGCTGAAACTTGCAAACCAGTCCTAATTTACTTTTTTTTGTGCTTTGTTCAGAAGTTGTGGACAAAGCAGAAGAAAAACTGACGGCAGCGTGATTAAATTTCGTCGGCAAAACTCCATAAATCTTACTGCGCCAATGATTTACAATCTTAAGCAAAGCCCTATATAAATTTTCGAAGGGAGTATATATTTCACTCTCCCGGATAGAAACAGGGATGCCAAACAAATTTAAACTATTTGTCAAACTGGGAAATTAACGGTTAAGGGTACAATATCGAAAATTACAGATTTATAGTGCCTAATTATTCCAAAAAGTCAAATAGGCAATTTTTCCCTATTTAGACATTTAAGAAAAAGAAAAAAAATATTTGTCTTATAACCACTTTCTAATAACATACTGACTGTACCTGTACTCGTTGACATTGTATCAAACTCTGCGTATGCGTCAATATTCTGAAGACTACGTGCTCTATGGTAGACTGTTCCTCGAAAATCATCCTGGCTAAATCCAGCAGTACTTGGTTCCGTTTGATTTCCAACTGTGACTTTTCATAAAGATGAGCGTTTCTTAATCCTATTCCACAGAATTGCAGATAACTGGAAAAAATTTCTTCGTCTTGTTTGGTAAAAGGTTGGTCACCCATCTTGTTTATCACCTAGAAAAAAAAACATAATCTCTATACAGGGTGTTTCAAAAAACATGTGCACCACACTTAGATAGCCACTAATCTAATGAAAACACTTTTTTTAAGAGTCCTTTTCATTAGTCCGAAAAAGTAGTAAAATAAGCGTTCGGCATTTAACGTTTTATGTAAAACTGGCTAGGTATTTTTACACAAATGAAGAAGGAAATTAAAGATAGAGGATTATACTATATCCGTATTGTAGCACATTTTTAGACAACTTCTTTATTTTTAAGATTTTGATGGTCAAACATCAACAAAATATTCCTTATGTTTGGACTAAATTTTCTCGAAAATAAAGACATAATTTAAAATTCCGTTACAATACGGAAATAGATTGAAGTTTCGTGATTACAGTGATATATAATTTATATGGTTTTGTAACAAATTACTTGCTATTTTATGGCAAATGCTGAAGCTCTGCAAACTTCTTTATTAAGGGACTTCTAAAATATAATAATATTAGTTATTTTATAATTATAGTGCCGTGCGAGTGCCAAGTCATTATAATTTTTATTCAAATAAAGATGTATAATATTATTATATTTTAAAAGTCGCTTGTTAAAGATGCTGTAAAATATCCATATGGTTTTTTGAAAACTTAATATTTTGTCAGTGTAGAGGAACGCCAATAATTCTATTACGACAATTTTTTAGACGTAAAAAATAAAATTAATATAAAAAACTTTTTATTGGGAACTTTTACCTTGCACCTTACCACTGTATATTTTTACATTCTGCAGTTCTCAAAATGTTTCTCAATTACCTACAGTGAGAGGATACAATAAATCTTTTAAATTCTCCCAAATCAAATTGACAATTTCAGCTAAATCTTTTAGTAAGGATTCCTTTTATTCTATTACAATTTATAATTCAAACTTTAATCTACAAAAGGACGCGGAATGAGAAAATTTTGTTCCAAGCAACCCCAATTTTGTCTGCTGATAAAAATTTAATTTCGCCCAATGTCTCGGTTTCGGAGGGTGTACTGCGTTTGACAGACGTCTGAGGATGGGAGAAATAAGCCGTTTCGAAACAAAGAGCCGTCAGTTATTTTGTTATTTAATTTTCAATTTATACTTAAGTCGCAACGGGATTAACACGAAAGATTGAAAAGAAAATAACGAGATATTTTGATTATTCTTAAGAGTCTATTACGCCGTACTGTGTGGGTCGCTCTTAGGGGTCGGGTAAAGGGGGTGTGTAGCCGAAGGAAATATATTATATTCGATGTACTTAAACAGCCGTTAAACGGTAGCCGACTAAAATGCCGTTAATAGATATTGTGACGTCGTTCATGTTGGCGGAAAGTAACGCCTAACCTTAAACATTTTGCAAGAGCACCTGTGGGTCAGTGGCTGAGGCTATCGCTTCGAAAGCGGATGGTCCGTGGTTCAAATCTCACGCCGACCAAGACTTTTTTATATTTTTTTTAGCGTGATCTTATTGCATTGGTTTCACTCTTTTTGGTTGGAGTGGTTTAGTTATTTGGCGGGTTGGTTAGCGTGGTTATTTGGAGGGTGTTAATTCATTGGTTAGTTGGTTATTTGGTGGGGTTGGTTGATTTTTACTAATTTATATTTGTTTTTTATATTTTTTGTCAGTGTCGAGGTTAGTTGCGTTGGTTAAGTTGGTTATTTGGAGGGATGGATAGCGTTGGTTAGTCCTTATAAAATTCCTATATTTCATAAAGCCGTCAAGTGCGTCACATCAACGACGTCATACCCATTAACGGCAGTTTAAGTACAGCCTATTATATTTCATAAATCTTTCTAAGGCTTAGACCGATCCTGTCATGTTAGATTAGGTTAGGTTGATGGGGTTTGGGATCATGTTTGATCCCTCACTCGGAGGCCTTGGGCCCATTGCGACACCCCTGTTATTGTTGTACCAAACCTTCCTCTCATTCTTTCTTTGCGATAAAGCACTTCCAGCTCTTTGCAAAGTTCCCGATGTCGCTGATGTTGGCTTCTGCTGCTTCCTCTAGTCCCTCCAAAAAACCTTGCCCTAAAGTTTTAAAGCGTCGGTATTCCAGTGCCGGACAGTGGCACAGCAGGTGCTCTATGGTTTCTTCTTCCTCTCCGCATTCTCTGCAGTAGACGTCGTTGGAAACCTTCCATCTCACGAGGTTTACCCCCGTGGTATAGTTTCCAGTGACGACACCTACAATTATGCGTACTAGGTCCTTTTTGTGCTCTAGTAGTTGTTTTGTCTTTTTGCTATCTACCATTGGCCATAGTCTTCCAGCTGTAGCGCAGTCCTCACGGTGTTGCTACGTCTCTTGCTGCTTGGCCTTGATGGCAGTTCCTATAGCTTCCTTGAGTGTGTTGATCGTCACAAGTGGTGGGTCATCTGCCACGGCCTCTCCCCTGGCCCTGTCTTTGGCGAGTCTGTCTGCTTCCTAATTGCCCACCACATTGCTGTGGCTTGGCACCCAGCACAGAGTAGCCCCAAAACTGCCCCGACGCAGCCAGGACAGTGCTTCTCGGCATTCCATCACAGTTTTCGATCTCACTGATTGCATGCCCATATAACACAACACAATCCTATAGATATCTTGAGGATATCCACCAAGGATATAGTAAATATCTTAGGGATATCCAAAAACCAGAGGAGGATATTTATGGGATATCCAGATGGGACAAAAAAGTCATCTTCAAGACATCCCTAGGCAAGCCTTTTACGATTATTTAGGATATTTATAGGATAATACAAGGATGATGTTGGGAGCATTATAGAATATTTTTAGGACATTATATGAGGACTGTTATTTGACAATACTTACTTCATCCTTAGTTTATAGTAAAAACGTTAGCGATTTTGTTTTATTTAGCCACATTTTGACGTTATTCATTGGATATTTTTATTAACAGCTCTAAAATATACTTGCGTCAAAATTGAGAAGTCTATTTGTATGAGTTAAGACCTTTCAATTTATACTGTACCATCGAAAAAAAACGACGTTCAATTGGCTTGAAAAATTACGATCGATGACATTTAGGGGTGACATATGTGTTTAGGTATAAAGAACAAGCGCTTTTGAACAAATTTTTCATTGTGAGACCCTGAGTCGTTCGTCGTTTTTCGACATTAGTTGAGGTTAGGATAGAATTTCTGCTAGAACAAGGCTAGAACTATGAGTATAAGAAAAAACTAAGTCAAACTCAACGAGTTTTGTTAGTTTCAGTCATTTTTAAGGCCATCCAATATCGACAAACGACCGGATTCACCTCAAATTTCACTAAATCAAAGAACTGAATAATACACGATGCAAAAACAAACAACTGTCGGGATGGATTGTGGGAAATTTTTTGCGTGGGCATTTTAAATTCTCTGTATTACTGGGAGTGGCCAAGCTCATAAATATCCAGGTTATCCAGAAGATACCAACAGGATATTTTGTTGCCTTGACGTAATATATATATATATATATATATATATATATATATATATATATATATATATATATATATATATATATATATATATATATATATATATATATATATATAAAGTATATATATATATATATATATATATATATATATATATATATATATATATATATATATATATATATATATATATATATATCTATCTATCTGTATGGTTTATTCCATTTTATGTAATATAAAAAGTAGTACATTATTTATTTTTCCTAAATATCTAGACGATATTGTTAGGATATTTTATTATCATGAGCATGTTTGGGTATCTCAGCTGGATGTAAATTAGATATACGACAGAGATATCCATAGGATATTCTATTCTGAGACATCTACAGGATTTCACGATGTCTGGAGGATAGTCTATAGATGTCTTTATAAGATGATCTTATAATGGGACATTCCGACATTCTATGAATATCCTGCGGATATTGTGTGTTATGTGGGTGATGCTTCTTAAAGCGGCCAAGCTGTCAGAGTATATCACTATATCCCGTATTGGCCTATCAGCAATTTTCTCTCGTATACAACTAGCCGCTTCCTGTAGTGTTAAGCCAAACCCAAATTCCAAACGCACGTGCTTTGATTAAGGCTTGATTAAGGTTTGCAGAGCTTCAGCATTTGCCATAAAATAGCGAGCAATTTGTTACAAAACCATATAAATTATATATCACTGTAATCACAAAACTGCAATCTATTTCCGTATAGTAACGGAATTTTAAATTATGTCTTTATTTTCGAGAAAATTTTGTCTAAACATAAGGAATATTTTGTTGATGTTTGACCATCAAAATCTCAAAAATAAAGAAGTTGTCTAGAAATGTGCTACAACACGGATATACTACAATCCTTTCTTTAATTTCCTTCTTCATTTGTGTAAAAAAAAACGTCGCCAGTTTTGCATTATTTTGCTACTTTTTCGGACTAGTGAAATGGACTCCGAAGATTTAATTTATATAAGTGTGTTCCATTAGGACAGTGGCCGTTTTGGCCAGTGTATCTGTCGTTTGTTAAGGTCCAAGTGCACCGAGAGCTTCCTGCCGTAAATATCCATAGGAAACTGGTTATTTTTAGTCGAAAAATAGCGCCAGAGGTCCGGTGCCAAGTCTGGCAGACGGAGATTGGGCCAATCTGGATGTTTTGCCAAGTTTTTAATGAATTTTGCATCGTCGTATCGAAGCTGTTTGTCGCCGTCCCGTCTTCGGCAAATTCACGGACAATATCGCACAAAGAACGCGTTTTGCTTTTGGTTTCGTACGAAAATAACATATTTAAGCTGGATGCTTTAGAATAAAACATGTCTGGGCAACCTGAATCCAAATTCGACCAAAAAATATTTTAACAATACACAATATATGAAATTTCGGTAGCATATTCTGCAGATAAATTTAAGTAAAAAGTTCGTATAAATGTATGTCCTAAAATGCTTAGTTTCGGAGATAAAGGGTGTAGAAGTTTCATTTTTATTTCGATTTTTTTGAAATAATTTATGAAGTAACGTCAATATTTGGATGAAAATTGGTGTCTGGGAGTTTTTTGACATGAGAAATTTGATTTTGTTGTCAATATGACTCCTATTTGTAGGGAGCGCCAGGGGGGTGACAGTGAAATAGGAAAATTGGAAACAGTCATTAGTGTCATTCCTGTCATCTCCTGACAAGTATGGCCGCCTAGACAAGGACAACAATGTTTCTGTCTAACTATTGTCTAACTTCACAGTTTAGAATTGACAGATTTGTTCTAAAACAAATCGAACAAATTTCGACGCCATTTTAATTCTCTCCGTTTAGTTTTGTTTTGTAAATTCAATTTGATATTTCGCCTGAAATTTATAAATATAAAGGTAATAAAGCATATAAAATATATATTACATGAAAAATCCTGGAGAAAAAGACGTTTCTGCAGTAGTAGATATGTCCCATGTATATTAAAAATAGGTAGTAAATAAACACTATTTCCATGTTTTTTAGATGCAAGAAAATTTTGTTATATGTTTATGATCGGCGATTTTATTGAAAATGGAAACAATTTACAGCAAGGTAAGATCATTTTTAACTATAGCCAATATTAGTTATCTCCAGTATGTGCGATTTATTGTCAATAATACAATAAATCTGTCTGATACAATCTGATTGTTATCCGATTAAAAGTCTCTTTACTTCTTTTGGATTCATAAACCAGGTCTCTTTGGGAATAATGGAGCTTTTTTAATTAGTATATTTATATTTTATACCTATATTGATATTTTTACATTGTTAATTTTAGTATAAAAAATGTGTTTTTCTGTTTTCAGGTTTGGTTTGTTATGGTATAAGGCTCCCGTTTTCATGTTCCTGCCCCCTTTTTCTGTTTCTGAAGGCTGTGAATCCGTGTATTTATTTACAAATTACTGTAAGTCATGCTTATACCTTACTAATTTACGTTAAAACTGCATATAATTAAGTAATTGATATAGAAATCATTCAATTCTTTATTTTTCTATATTTATTTAGTCACGTTGTCTTACATTTCAAATAAATATGTTTGAATAAATTTTTATTTTGTTTTATTTATGATAAGAAAGAGTACAAAATACATTTAAACTGAAAGAGGTGCCCGCCATTGAATAACCGGAAACGGAAATAAAAATGAAGCCATCATGTCAACCTGTCAATTGAAAATTAGTTCTCCAGACGACAACGAAGGCTTTCGGTGGCGTATCGTGTTTCCACGATTTAACACAGAGTTGACACTTCTTTCTAGTTATTTTATGGGGAGCGCCACCTACATGTGTTTTAACTGTTTTGAAGAGTAATAATTTTTCGTCTGTACCGGGTGGCCAACTAAGAATGGACGCCGGCTGTATCTCAGAAACTACTTATCGTATAACTTTGGGAAAAAAATTCTAATAAGCAAATCGATCAAGAGAAATCGCTGGAAATTATTTTCAAGTTCGAAAAATGTCCGCTGGGGGGCGTTTCTCTGATAGCCAATCAGAAAACAGAATTTTTCTTAAAAATATGCAGGTGAACAGGTATTTTAAATATTACTATTGTAATCGTCGAGAAATTTGTAATTTTTTTTATGTAGAGTATTTTGCTCTATCTCATAAAATAAAGTGGTGGGGGAAGATTAAACTTGATTTTATTAAAATAAGGATAACTCTGGTTTAGGTTAGCCGATTTAAACAAACTAGGGCTCGTTTAAAAGAGCTTTTCTTCCTTAATCATCTACAGTATAAATTTTGTTTCCATAATTTTTTTCGTGGTAGCTAGAGGGCGCTGTATGACACCATAACAGATATTGCGCTTTTGCAGAAAAAAATTAAATAGGAGGCTATATTTCTCTTCACACAGTTAAATAGAGCACAAAATTTCCAAAAAATTGGCGCAAACCGCAACTTTCTATCTTCTCTCTAACCGGAGTTAATAAGAGAACAAATCATGTTAGGCTGCCGTTTAGGATTATATGGTCTAAAAAGTATAGAAAAATTAAATTTTTTATGCAAAAGCGCAAAATTTGTTATAATATCATACAGCACCCTCTAGCTACCACGAAAAAAATTATGGAAACAAAATTTATACTGGAGATGGTTAAGGAAGAAAAGCTCTTTTAAACGAGCCCTAGTTTGTTTAAATCGGCTAACCTAAACCAGAGTTATCCTTATTTTAATAAAATCAAGTTTAATCTCCCCCCACCACTTTATTTTATGAGATAGAGCAAAATACTCTATATCAAAAAAATTACAAATTTCTCGACGATTACAATAGTAATATTTAAAATACCTGTTAACCTGCATATTTTTGAGAAAAACTCTGTTTTCTGATTGGTTATCAGAGAAACGCCCCCTAGCGGACATTTTTCGAACTTGAAAATAATTTCCAGCGATTTTTTTTGGTCGATTTACTCATTATAATTTTTTTCCCAAAGTTATACGATAAGTAGTTTCTAAGATACTATACTATTTTGTAGATTTTCTTACATTGAATATGCCTATGTAAATACCGCATTTTTATACAAAAAATATTTACCTGAGCAACACCTATGACGTCACCATTGGTATCTTTAATCGGCATGCAAAGGAGAGTTTTGGTCCTGTACCCTGTCAATGTGTCAATGTCATGATTAAACCTGTCATCCTGAAAAAGAAAATATAAAAGTTAGTACATATTTTTTGTGGTTTCAGTAAACTATTCAGACATAAATCTCTCTCGAAATTTATAGGAATTATGGTATTTAAGTTTAAAACCATTTTTTTTATGTTTTACTACTTGTTCTATTTTCCAATTTTCACAATATATTTTAGTATTTTCTTAATTTTTGTAACAATATCCCAAATCACTCTAGTTTTCTTTTTCTAAAGTTATACAATACTTCATCTGTATGAATTAATAACATAAAAAGCTTGCAATCTAATCTCGTATTGACTGCATTTTCTTGTGTAATTCCTCCAAGGTTTTCCATTTATTCCCCGATTGGTTTTCTCAATTTCCTTTCAACATTTCCCGGCTTTAATCCAATCTACTCCACTAGCAGCGATACATGTTTATTTGCTATATTATCCAGCTAAAATCTATTTACTTTAACTAGACCATTTCATGCTTTATTATTCTTTACATATCAACAACAATCGATAATCTTAGCGAAATTGGTATTACTTAAGTTTATTAATTTCATTTCTGTCCTCTTTCAAAAATATAAATGCATAATTGATATATATCAAGACAATTAAAAATTCAACTACGTCATTGATTTTTAGTTCGAAGCATCCTACATACCTGTAAAATACCTGATTAAATTTTTCAAAAATAATCATAATTTTGTCAAAAAAGTTGAAAAAATTAGGAATTTACCGAGTGGTTAACTTTAACTGTGAATAACTTTTGAAGGAGTAGGTTTATCGAAAAATTGTAAGACACCTTTTTTGTAGAGCGTTCAATTCCGTACAAGAATATATGATTGTCATGGCTGCGAGAGAACAAGATCGAGAGAAAAAAAATTATTTGCAAAAAGTAGCAAATTCCCAAGCAATTTAAATGGAAACGAATCGTCTTTGGGGCAAGGTTTATTGTGAATATTAGGGGTTTACAATGGTCTGTTATTTTTTTTAGACAATAAACTAAAAATTTAGAGGGCGTCGTGGAAAATAACGGACACCCTAACGAATTCTAAAAAGACATTGATTAATTGAATCGGAATTAAAAATTCTTTTGAAATCGGAAAAACAAACACGCTGAACGCAAACTTTATCTATCTCAGTGGCAAACTGCAATCTGGATGGGGCTTAATTCGAGTCGACGGCTTTTTGGTCCGTTTCCAGATGCAATTCGCATGGAAAAGGCAGTTTTGGAAAAGTTGCAACGAAACTTTCGCGAACCCGGCGCCTGACGCTGATTTTGTTGACTTTAGGGAACGACGGTAGCTATGTGGGGTCTCAAATTACTGTTTAAAACACTATTTCAAACGAAATTAATGTAGATTCTATACCAGGGTCAGTCGGAAAGTTTTTATCATACAAGAATTTATTTGAAACTTGCAATAACCAGGCAGCTCAACTTTTCTACGAAAATTAGATTTTTACTGAATTAACCTTTAAAAAATAGACCAATCGTTGCAACAAGTAGATAACTCCATTTAACAGTATATAAATGACAACGTTATTTGGAGCTAACTTTGCAGTAACAACCAGGGTAGCTCCTGGAAGCTGTCTGCAGCAAGCAAAATTTCTTAAAATGAAGCTACCTGTTTATTGCAGCCACCCCTTCAATTGTTTTTAGGGTTCCGTACCCAATGGGTAAAAACGGGAACCCTATTACTAAGACTTCGCTGTCTGTCCGTCTGTCACAAAGGTCTATCTTATGAACCGTTATAGGTAGACAGTTGAAATTTTTAATTAAAAATTAAACAAATACTAAAAACAGAATTAAATAAATGTTTATAAATGAAAAAGTACTTTCACTAAACATTATCTTTTAAGTAAGAATTTTACATAGAATCTTTCAAGTCCTTGGTGGCCGCGTGGTTAAAGCGTTAGGACTTTACGCTGCTATGACGCTGGAGCCGTAGTAAGGCAGGTTCGAATCCTAGTCAAGACGACTTTTTTTAATCGTTTTTTTTTAAATTTTTATGCATTTTGATTCGTATTATTACGTGTGTTTTGTGTCTTTTGAAGTCAAGTAGAGGAAAAATCGAGGGAAAATTAACTGTAGACCCAGATCACAGTTTATAGTTAATACTCGCTGCCCAGGCAGAAACTCTTATAAACCAATAAAGTTGCTATCAATAAAGTTTGTATACTATCTCGTCGTAGCTAAGTGCATCTCGTATATACTACAAGGATCCTACTATAAACATATAGTACTGGAGTAGCTGTAAAATATCGACATCACACGATAGGTAAATTATGGATTTTAGTACTGCAGAAAAATAATATCAAAATTAAGATTAAAGTTAATTAATCAACCTTTAAGGTATAAAATGTTATTTTATTTATTCCTGTGGAATATTACAAATTTGTATTTGTACATAAGTTATATTGATAAATATAATAATAAATGGGGGAAGTTTCCAAGAACAGTTAACCTAATAGGACTGCTCATTCAGCCAAAAGTGTCCGCCAGGTGCATGCAAAAACTACTCGCTTTGTGACGTCATTGTCGTCCTTGTCATGGTTATTAGTCCTTATCCGGCAACCAATAATACACACACGTGCATTATTGGTTGCCGAATGCAAAACGTTCATTATTTAGTTTATTTATTTAAACACCTTATATGTATGCAGTATAGAAAATAACTGTATAAATCGTATTAAATACTCGGATAATGCATTTTTATGAACAGCAGGTCCCAGCGTCACCTTTTGCAAGCATTCTTTTTAGAGTACTTCCATATTTTGCTTTAAAATAATTAATAAACAAAATCGTGGGCACTTAGTATGCACTTTGTCACAATTCACAATACAAAATGAACGTATTTATACACTCTATAGCTCTAAAAACTTTAAAGACACCCTTTTCACATTTAAAATTGACAAAATAATTAACTCAAAATTGCTCAGCTGTTATTTTTATAAGTTTACCATAGGCAACTAATAATACACACTATCATGACAAGGCTTTGACAAGGACTACAATGACGTCACAACTGTCAGCTGAAGCGCGGGAAGAGGCGAACGTACGTCTTATGAGGATGAGCAATCCTATTAGTTTACCGTTCTTGGGAAGTTTCTTGAAGCTTGAAAGTAAGAAATAGTTCTTTTTTATATTTTTTTGTATGTTCTGTTTTGTTCTTCTTTGTTTTGTATTAACACATACCGTTTTTTTTAAATAAAATAACTCGATTACATTTTTTCAGTTTTATACAGTTTTTTTCACAATATTTTGAAGTAATCACTTATCAGTCAAATTTTAAATATATTAATTTCCTGCTATGCGTTCCAGTTGTACCAACTTATTTTTTTGTAAAATAAAATAAACTCCTTTAAAATTAAAATGACAGACACATCTATCACTGTCAAGGATCTTGTCACTGGACAGAGTATAATGGATCTGAAGAGCTCGCAGTGGAACAGGTCGATAGCCACCTCAAAAACCTGTATCGAACATGAAATCATCGATACTCTCATGCATCGATACTATCGATACTATCAAAAAATCGATAGTATTATACATCACTACCCTAGGATAAAAAAAAATAATAAAAAATAGAAATATACAAGAATAGACCCTTTTTAATGATTAGTTCGAACCAAAAGGCACTTCATTTCCCCTCACCAACCCTTCGTTTCCACCGAAGTGAAAATTAATTAAAAAACTACTTCTTTTCTAATTAAAATGGCGTTTACTCGCTGCCTGTGATGGGATCAATCGTACGGGAGGGCTGCTAATTGATGGCTTTATTTCCCCGCAGGGTTTGCCCACGAGCACGCCGGCTACGTCATTCGCACAAGGTGGGTTCTACGACGTCTAATAATCATTAGCGACAAAAATAAACCGCACGCTGAAAAATGACGCGGAGCAACGAGCCAGCCAGACGCGTCCCTTACTCCATTACAATTTGTTTTATCCGTTTATAGTGGATAAGACTCTATTTTCACATGAAAAACCCTTAAAGTGTGTTTTTAGGGTTTCGTACCCAAAGGGTAAAAACGGGAACCCTATTATCCGGACAAACGAACGAACGAGCGAACGAATGGAATTCGGTATATTTGGACGGGGAACCGGACGCATGCGGCCGTTCGTTCGTTTGCTCTACCATCCGTTTCGAGTCGGTACATCAAAAGAGTTCAAAAACGAATGGGTAGATGTTGTTCGTTCGGTTCTAAAATTCGGTCCCGTCCATACTACTACCGAACGAACCAACGAATGTTCGTTCGTTCGTTCGGATAGTGAATACGCACCTTTACTAAGACTTCGCTGTCCGTCCGTCCGTCTGTCACACGGACAAGTCAAAGGTCTATCTTATGAACCGTTATAGCTAGACAGTTGAAATTTTTACAGATAATGTATCAGATATATGTAGGTATGTTGCCGCTACAAGAACAAATACTAAAAACAGAATTAAATAACTTTTTATAAATAAAAAAGTACTTTTACTAAACATTATCTTTTAAGTAAGAATTTTACATAGAATATTTCAAGTCCTCGGTGGCCGCGTGGTTTAAATCGTTAGGACTTTACGCTACTATGACGTTGGAACCGTAGTAAGGCAGGTTCGAATCCTAGTCAAGGCGACTTTTTTTTAATCGTTTTTTTTTAATTTTTACATATTTATTTTTACTTTTTACATATTTATTATTGATTAATACAATTTGGTAATGTGTTTCTTCATTTTTTTTAATTACTTATATGCGCATTCAAAATTTCAGCTAAATCAGAAAATGTCTCTATAGTATATGAGTCCCACTTGAACTATTTTTCTATTATTTACCCACCGAAAACAATATTCTCTATAATAAAAGCGACATAAAAAATTCACATCATAAACGGTGGAACTTTAATCAAAATTCCTTTGAGCCTCTAAAAACCGCCCTTCGTTATTAATAACCCTCATTAAACCCTACACCCTTCTAAATTTCATAACGCGCCGACAGGCCTGTGTGTAAACAAGCCCTAATTAAAAATCGAGGAGACATTGTTTT